GCAGGATGTGTTAAATGGGAATCTGTCAATATTGTTAGATTTTTAGGGTAAGGATATTTCCACAGCGGAGCAGAGGAGCTCTGTCAGGAAGCTTGAACCTTCCGTGACATCACCCATTAGTATGTGGGGTGCCGTTTTGAAGCCTTGAGTTTGACATTATGGCCATTGGTGTTTTTTGCAACCAGCAGCTGTGACATACTGCAAGTTGGGCTGTGCTTGGTTTCAAACTCGTCTGTAGCAGGAAACAGCGGTGGCTCTCCAGGTCACACACTTTCTCATATTACAGATAAACAGTATACTAAAATATGTTTCTGGAAGAATTTGAGGCGAGAAATAGGCAATGCTGTAACAGAATCTTTATCAAATATGAAATTTGATCAGCACTGCCTAGTTTGACAGTTTGATCTGAATGTTATGCGGTGTGCTGGACAGACTCACTGAGAATGAGTCAGTCACAAGGTAGACATGTCCTGAAGCATACCCTGCTCCAGAGCCTTGGTCCTATGTGCTGTGTACTGTGTGTGTTGTGTGTCTTGATGCATCAAGGTAACTGGGAACACCTGACCAGTGTTCCCAGCTACTAAAGCCCGTCTGCCCAAACGCCACTCACCAAGCTCTGTTCTTTGTTTCTTTGCATTGCCTTAATTTTGCTTCGCACTGACAACATGCACCACACATTAACCACTGTACTCATGCACTCTCACAGACCGCTGATCCTGACTTCCACACCTCATTGTTATTGTTATTATTATTAGTATCTTTAAATTCTTTAATAAATTTCAGTTTTTCAGCGTTAGGTTCAGCGTGCATCCCACTCCTCAATAGTTGCTTTGCATACAGGACTGCAAATCTACTGAATATCACATTGTCTCCCAGACTTTAAGCTCCACAATTTATAGAAAAAAAACTCTTCTTGTTGTGTGCTGTTGATACGCTCTTTGTAATCCTTGTATTAGCTGAGGATACTTTTGATGTACAGTATGTTGACCTTTTCACTGTCCTTAGCAAGTCACTAGAGGTTGACAAGAAAGATGAGCATCACCACCAGCCTGTCTGTGACAGTTATGGAGAAATTCAGTTTCTATGAGGTTTTCACAAAAGAAGAAATTGTCATTTTGAAAAAGCTTTTAAGGTTTTGTAGGAAAATGAAATTCTTGATGGTCTGGTTGTATCGTCCCTATTTTATTACTGTTAATACTTTAAAAATGAACGCTTTTTAAAAAAAAATACAGTATGTGGAAATGTGTACACATATAGTGTGTGTGTGTGTGTGTGTGTGTGTGTGTGTGTGTGTGTGTGTGTGTCTGTCTGTCTCTGCACAGAGTACAGTACGTGTATGTTCAAGGACTTTTTTGATCAGGACCAAGGAACAACATGCATTTTTTTCTTTTCCATTTTTATACCGTTTCATATAGCACCATTAGTTGGTTGACTGAACCACAGATGAGCTATGCTTTACAGAATCCAAATTACACTAGAGCAATTTTTCATTCGGTGAAGCTCTTCCCAGGCAAAGAGCCATAGATGGGCCTGTTCACTTTCCTTATTTGTCCTTGTCTGCTGGAGGTTGCCGCTGGCTGACATAGCCTGAATTTAAGTGGACATCAATCTCGATAAAGAGGCAGAGCCCAGAGTAATATTACCTCCTCAGATTTTTTTTAGCTGTTTAGCAAGACAGCGCAAATAAGCATGTTTCACATCACAAACGGAAACATTAACCTCCAATATGAAACTAAATATTTGAATCACACTGTCGTTTCACGGCAGTGGTGTCTTTTAGTTTCACATGTCTATATCCAGTGAGGCACAGCCTTCTAAAACCTCTCAGCACAGAACAGGACAAGATGCGTCTATTTGCATGGCTGTGTTGTGACGATAAAAAGATTTCCTCCGGCTGGCCAGTGGCCTATCTCGCTGCTGCAAAAGTGATGCAGGGAAAATTTGGCTCAGAGTGGCAGCCATGCCACAGTGGACTGGACTTCATGCACTCCTCATAAATGAGAGTCATTAATTCTCCATGTAGGTAGAGTTTTTCCACGTGCAGTGCAGGAGCCCCTCTTCCTCTGGGACAAAGCCGTACCCTGGCCTGACTCAACCCAATCAGCACCACTTCACGTTCTCCTCTATTCTGTCTCCATTCTTTCTCTCTCTCTCTCTCTCTCCCTCTCCTCTGTCTGCTCTTCCTCAGTTATATATGAAGACAAAGATCCCAGCTCCTTCTGTTTGTAGAGCCCATCTGATAAGTTGCAGATAAGTCACCACTGTTGGGAAAGATTGCCATCAACTCTGATGCTAGAGGCACTCTTCTTTTCTCTTATTATGAAATATGAGTTGTTCCCAGTTGGCTCCCTTGACCTAAATTTTTAGTATTTGCACTTTATTTTCAAGCTTGCGTTTCTATTTAGATATATTTGTGTGTGTGTGTTTGTCATAAAGTAAGCAGACATACCTGAGGCAGTTGAATTAATTTGCATCATAAACAGATTAAGTGGCAATCTGTATGGCAATGCCAAATTCAAATTATTTTCAAAAAAAGAAAGTAATTCTGTCTTAATTGCAGTTTATTATCAAGATATACATTATAGCAACCGATCAGCATCAAAGCTAAGTAGCAAATCTTTTTTTGTTTTTTTGATTGTTGCAGGTGTCATCTACTCATGGACCATATGGTTGCACAGTGGTGCGATTAAAGTGCTACTGCAGAAAACCATTTGCCACTGATATAGCCTGTATATTAAAATCTCAGCAAGCATCACAGGCTATTTGCAATCCACATTGTAAACAAACAGAAGAGCTCTTCAAAGGCTCAAACCTCGACATAATTGGAAAGGAAATGGAACCAGAGCTGAGCTAATGTTTCTTAGCTCTTTTCCTCTGCCATTAGTGATCCCAGGTCCCAGAAGAATGAATAGCTGGACAGGTCTGCTATCAAAGAAATGGAGTGTAATTTTCTTTTTTTCTTTTCACATTCAGTATCTGTCTCCTATTTTCCCTGTAAGTCTTTAGCCACCTTTTACAGAGTATTCGTTTCTTTATCAATTAAGGCCCAGTGTTTTCATATATATGATTTTTACACTGTTTCAGTCACTGCTGTTTGATCTATTCTCTGGAATATTATCTGCCTTCACAGTTTTGGAATACATTATCTTGTGATGGGTGAGGTGGTGGGAGCAGTAAGCCAAAAGAAATATATAAAATATTCTTCAAAAAAACTACACACTGCTCACTGCATTTTAGTGCAGATTAAATAAATTGTTAAGGAAGTAAGAGGCATGAACACATCCATTGTTTCTAGTCTCCAAATGACAGGATGACCTTATTTAGTAAGGAGGTAATTGAAGAGTCATTATGACAGCCTGCTGGTGAGGTCTTGTCCTGGGAGGTCTGTGGTAGGAGAAACCTCTCCTGACAGACTGCCTAAGTACTGTCTCCAGATCTGGGACTTACTCAGTTATGAGTTAGTGGTTTGGTGATGTCCAACTCCCTGTGGCACGCCATTCAAACGCAGAGCTGCCATTACAGAGACACATTAGGGCTGAGAGCACTTAAGCATCGTTTCATGGCAATATCAATTAACTCACTTAGCCTCTAAAGGACAACAGCTGTTGCCTAACCATCGGCACCACCACAATATTAAATATTTTGAATGCACCATCTTTTTATAAAACAATCAGAGGTGTTAATTGAACTTGATGAAGACAAATGGACTGTGGAGGTGGTAATGGCAAGTGTCTTGTGTTCAACAAGGCCTTCTGGCTTGTGTCCACACAAGGATATTAATGAGCTCTGACCTTATGTATTCATTTCCTGAAGCGGATGTACATAAATGCTTGGCTTTCAAAAGTTCTATTAAATCAATGAGTCATCAGCGCTTTTTGTTGCATGCAGCATAACCAAATTTTGTTGACTTGATTGAGTTGATCTACATAAAAATTGAATTTGCCCCAAGAAGCATCCATGCTTCAAAAGTGTGTGTTGGTGGACTGTGAGGAGAAGGCAGAGGTAATTGACAATACTGTGTAGTAATCAGAAGGCAAGACACAATAGTTTGCTGTTTGAAACTATGACCTTTGGTAAAACGTTGCATAAGAAGCTAACAATTATTTTCATTATTTGTTTGTTTTAATGTATGTAATGTACAACATTGTTTAAATGACAGAAAAAAGTGAAAAATTACCATAACAATTTCCCAGAGACCAAAGTGACATCTTCTAGTTTTTTAGATTACAGCAAATGAGAACCTGGAACCAATTTTGATCCACTAATTGTTTTAGTATTAATTGAGCAGGTACCATTTTTAGTATTTAACAAGATTTAAATAGATAGATGTCTGCAGTATAGCAATACGCTCTTTCTTTGGTTGTCTGTGGAATCGACTTTTATTTGCTTATTTTTATTGATTTATTCTTTACTTTCTGTGCAAGCTGACAGAGCCTGGTGCTCTCCAGCTTAAGAAAACGCAAGCAACAAGAGAAAACAGAAATAAATAAGGAAAACATTCACCAATTTGACAACATATGCATTACATTTTGGAACGCACTTCAAATACAGAGAACACACATAAACAAAATGCAAGCAATTATACAAAACACTAGCAGTACAAGAAGAAAATACAAATGCAAATATAAAAAAGCAAAAAGCAAATATAGGAACACTAATGTACATGACTGCACTGAGTAGCAACACAATAAAAATGTTTCCAAGGACATGAGTGGAACCTTTGGATCCTGCCACACATGACAGTAATGTGTCACTAAGCATGTATTCTGGTGACATAATGCATCTTTATTAAAATACTGACCGAACATAAAGACATTCAGGTACTTTCCGATGCAGTCATTTTCCAGGTGAGATTAAAATCACTGCATGGAGTGCTTAAAAAACAAGGTTATTTTTGTATGTTAGCAAATGACCATTTAGATGCCAGTGAAAATAGTTTTTTTAACTGAATCTGCTCTCCTCCTCCCAATACCCCACCTTTTTTTCCTCTGTTATGACAGATGCCATGCTGCTGGTGGCACAGAGGCTGGAGGGACCTTTCAACATTGAATCTGTCATGGAGCCCATTGATGTCAAGATTTCAGAGGCCATCATGAATATGCAAGATAACAGTGCCCAGGTTTCCTACAGGGTATGTCAATTAGGTTTATTCCCCAGAGAACAAAAGAAACACCACAGACAGGTTGTTAAAGTTAAACTTTTTTTTTTACAAACTGAAGATAAACTTAGCAGGGGAGCTTGCTTTAAGTCATACTGGGCTGTGTCTAAGGTGTGTAATACAACACGTTCTAATTATGTCCAAGTTTAGGTCTTGTATTTGAATTATATGTTTCAATTTGGTCAGATAATCTTAGTTCAACTAACAGTAGTTAATGTGTTTCCTGTCTTTTACTGCATTTTTCTTTCCCCACAAAATTGGAGTCAGAAAGAAAAAAAAATGTAGGTGGTTGTGAAGAATTTTTTCTGCCTACACACTTTTGGATGCCAGTTCTCATTCAAAGCTAAATGCACTGTTGGCTTTCCCATGCAACAGATGCAGTTTTGTTTATGGTTTAAGTATATGTGGTAGTTTCCCAGAAGCCCGTAAAAACGTAACTCTGTCATCTTAAATAGCATCGGTCACAGCTCCTAGTTGAATCACCTATCAACGTGGTTACCTCAACTTGACGAAGGGCACTGTCACGCTGGTAATGTGGGATGAATGCTTCACAAGACCTTAACAAAACAGCATGTTTTCCTTATTTTCTGCATCCAAAGTAATTTCCACCCCTGACAATTGGGTGCCCATGTTTTTGTAATTGCAGGTTTTTCAAGGTTGTGGCCAGCCAAAACCCGCAGGAATGACTAGGTCTGCCCGTGGTGTTTCGGATGTGTTCAACGCTCGCTTCAGGCCGTACAGCCCAGAGGAGCGGCCTACCACTGCAGCTGGCACAAGCCTAGACAGACTGGTAAGGAGACAGAGCCAGTGCTGCTGTTTTCAGGCGAGACACTGCTTCAGTGTAAACATCATTTGTCTTTCTGACTTGACACTGTTGATTAAAGCTGGTGATTTGCCATCGTAAGCCCCTAGAGCCGGAAATTAATTCTTTGTACTTGTCCTCCATTCAGGCCCCTCTATCGATTTGTGTTTGTTAACGAATCAACAGCTTTACCCCAAGAGGGCAGTGGAAGGTGTGGTGCACTGCATTCGGTGCCCTTCTCATCTCTGTGTGCTTGGTAAACAGAAAAGAAAGGGATGAAAGAATTGATGGATAGATTTTGTGAGGCTGACCATATCAATTGTTTGCTGTAAAGCACACCTTTATTTTCTATCAGATTAGCTGTATGTTTGTCGGACTGATTCTTGATACATGGATTTCCATCTCAAACAACCTTGAAACCTAAAATGCTGCATCAGGGTAAAGGTTAACACGGAGCTGACAGACCAATTCAGCTGAGAGACAGTTCTCATCATGGATTACCTTTGCAGCCACAGTGCCCTTCCTTTCTCCCCTCTAGCCCTTTTCAGTGTGAATCTTTTCAAATCAGTTATGTCGCTGTTTAGCTATTTCAGTCAGAAAGCAAAAATGTATTTTGTGCGTTATTGACCCTTGAAAAGTACGAAAGTTATTAAATCTTTTTAGTGGAACGGCAGCCTCACCCACAGTGTTTAAAACATGTTAAATCAAGTGCTTTGTGTTGGGTTAATAATAGGTTATTTACTTAATGAATACATAATTTGAAAAACAGCAGTTGCTTGCCATCTGGCTCTTGGAATCCCACAACAATAACTGACTTATTTGTTGTATTCAATACTAATTATGTTTTTGCGCAATCTAATTAATTCTGCACACATTTTTGATGTCTTATATGCAGCAGTTGCCTTTTTAGCTTTCTGTGTCCATCAACGATTTCTTCCACCTACACTGAATTAATTAAGACTTTCTGTTTCCCTGCCTTTATGCTGCAAACCAGAGGATTGTTTGGAATGCGATGCAACACAGTGTAAGGTTCAAAATTTTATCCTCATTTCAGTTGTTTTTGCTGGGTCTATTGTCAGTGACTGTTTTATGCATTGTGACTGCAAGCAAAAATTATGTTTTCAATATTGTGTGGTTGCGGGATGCATAGGATTGCCTTAAAATCATTAGAGATTTACAGTAAACTAGCATTGTGACCTGTAAATCCCAGTGGTATGCAGCACTTGGTGTGCTAAGTGTCAGCCAGAGTGTCATTTTCATCTCACATGGGTGTCACCTGCTCTCATTGAATTTGCTATGACGGAGCATTTTGTCTTTCATTTAATAGGGGTTCTAATGCAGGAGCTCTTTAGGCCTAATGGCCACTGTAGTGTATTATGGCATCAAAGTATCCGCTATTAAACACGGTATTTTACAGTCGAGTTTCTAACATGACAGGGATTGCTGAACACATGCCATGGTGTCCTCAGCTAGTCAGGATGCCTCTCTGGAGATCCAACATGAACCTTCGTCAACCACCATATCTATTCTAGACACATCCCAGTCCAGGACCCTTATTGCCATAGCTAATAGAGTCAACTCCTTGAGGAAGCCAACCAATCAGCAGGTGACCTGCTCCGTCAGAGCTGGCAGAGGGGAGAGCTGTGAAGAGTTGGTGGGAGAGTGTTGCAGCCAGCATCTGCTCTAGCTGTACAGTGAAGTGGGGGCTCCAGACTGCTCATGAATAACTGGGCAATTAGCCTGCTTGGAGAATCTCACAAGATGGAGCTCAGTGACAGGAGCTTATTTTTGACATACGATAACTAGCCTAGTGTACCTGAGCAGAAAATTCTATTATCAACATCCGTGTGCTAGAGGAGTCCATGCTGATCATAGTGGCCACAGGAAGCTGTGAATCGTGACATTTCTCTAATGTGCTGTAATAAGGGCTGCTTGGTTCATGGAAAGAAAGAGAAAATGCTTGGTTTGTCTTTTGGCAAACCAAAACTCTACTTTTCATAGATTTAGGAATCTCAGTAAGTGTTTGAATGTTTTTGGAATATGACATGTCAGAGAAATTACTAACATGCATGCTTATTAAGCTGTATTTAATCAGAGCCTAATACATTTATCCTCCTTTAACGGATTTTTGTTTGGCTACTTAAGGTAACCAAAACTATCTGTAAACTCAGCACTAACATTTTAAGTAATATGGCGAACTTCTTAGCAAAAAGTTCCAGAAGATACAGAGCAATATTAGCCTTCATTTGGAGTTATTGTTCAGGTAACTTAACAAATAATCACTCCGCTTCAGCTCAGTTTTTTGGTCTCAGCTAATTCCTGGGGGAAATATCTGGCTCTTTAGCCACTAAAAGCACCAGTTAGATGTTAACTGTGTCGGCTTGCTGTTTGGTTCTGAGCAGGTTGTGTATAGTGGGATTTAAGAGCTGTTTCACTGAAAACCGATGCCTGCTGCGTCTGCAAAAGTAGCAGGCTTTAAAACCAAAACAACAAGGACCCCTCTTACATACAAGTTTATACACACACACACACACACACACACACACACACACACACACACACACACACACACACACACACATACATCTGAAAGGCACTGTGGAAAGAATACTGAGACTATAAAGTCAGTGATAACACCTCCGACTTCTCAATAGAAATATAAAGTCTATCTATTAATATATAATAACTTCAATATTGTAAAAATAAATATAAAACAGCCAGCTGTGTTGTTGTTGTTTTTGGTGACAAGTTTGTACTCCTCCTGTGGAGTGAAAGTGTGAGAAGTGTTAAATAAAAACTGAAGCAACAGCAAAAAAAGAGAGAAGCTAAATCAGTGCAGCATCTGTAAATGTGGGAAGCTTAACCTCACTGAGCTAAGGTTACGTGATGAAATAATTAGCTCTGGGGCATCTTGGTGGTTGAGTGGTTAAGATGCAACCGCAACGTTCTGGGTTTGATTCAAGTTGTGAACCTTTTTGTTGCATGTTATCACTCCCTCTCATTACCTCTGCTGTCTTCCTGTTTTTCCTGTCTTTCTATTCTCTTATAATATCAAACAAAGGCAAAATTGCCATAAAAAGCTGTGTAAAAAGGAGATAAAATAGTTGCTCATGTATAGCTTAGAAATGTAATATTGATGCTTGTAGAAGCATCAGTATTACATTTTTGTTTTATGACCAATTAAAAAACACTTTGTAGCTGCTTTGAAGGTTTAACTTAAACAATTATGTTGCACCTTTGCCACTCAAAACAAGTTTAAAAGAAACAAGTAAGTGTGTTATATGAGTACCATAACAGTAGCAACTGTTTAATCTCATAAATGAAAACTGACAGTAAATTAATCAGCCACCGTGGTAGAGTATTAGTCAGCACCAAGTATTCTCTTCTAAAGATGGTAAAAGTTATGTTCAGTAATACCCTTCATCATTGTGATGAGTCATTTTGTGGAAATATTGAACTACTTTAAGGGTGGCATGGGGTTTGTTCAGCTAACATAGAATTATGTTGGTTGAGGTTATATCTTACCACACATCTGCTGTGAACTCACTCCTGCAGCTTACCTGAAAATACAAGCCTCACATTTACAATATACATTTCTAACTTGTGGAAAGTTAGATGTATTTCTATAAAGGTCCTGTAGTTGACATCACAGCCACTAACAGCTACCATAGTGGCAGGCAGAAAAGTTGCTATTCTCGGTCTTGCAGCATAGATGCATCAACACAGACTGCTGACACATGAGATAATCTTACTAAAGGAATTTCAAATTTGGAAGAAGTACCTTTGCAGTAATCAGCTGAAAATAATGGCTTGTCAATCAAAAGTTAACTGCAGACATTCTTTAAGAGAGAAAACTGCATTTGGATTTTTTACAGAAGGTGTAGTACAGTGTGTCAGGAAGCATAAGCTGCTGAACTAGATAGAATCAGTTAAGCCATGTTGGTCAAATGAAGCCTGTGTTTATATGGTCTCATTAACTAACTAGAATAGTGAACCCAGTAGAGTGCAGGTCTCCACCAGACAACAGATGGTGAAGCACCTATGTCTGGACAGTCCTGCACTTTGTCTCCACAACGTAATTATGAAAAAATGTAGTATTATGCAAATTTAATTTCTAGGAGACAAGGTTGGTATGCAAGATTAGCCTCGGATGTACACAGACACACATGACCAAAGGCAACATCCCGTGTTACACCGAGATAACAAAGAGCTGTTTATGGTGTGGGCTCGTCAGTAGCTATTTGTTATAATTTATGATTTAAAGGTCCCCCATTCTCCATTTAGGAGAATCTATAATATTCATAGGTAGGTTTTCATTAATGTATAATCACTTGAAAAATAAAATTCCCTGTGTTTTCTTTACCTTAGAGCGGATCCTCTTCAATGGAGTTCATTATCTTGAACTGTCATGTTTTTACAGTAGCCCAGAACAGACAAACTAAACACTGGCTATAAATAGGGCCTTTCGCAAGTTTCTTCTACACACTTGGGAGGCAAGCAGTATTAATGTGGTTCACCACTAGATGCCACTTAATGGTCCTTTACCATTCAATTATTTTCATTAGTTCGGCAGTGTCAGATGGATGGTTTACCTGCTTGCTAGTTGCAAACATTTCCTGTGTATTCGGTTCCTGTTTATTCGGTTAAAGGACACATGACACTTTTTTTTTTTGTTTGGTATATAATCAATTGAATAGCGGCAGTAGGCATCACATGTGTTTCCCCTCCCTACCCATTGTATCCTTGTGGCTCTCTAGAGTTAAAGTTGGACAGGTGGTCAGTGGGTGGCTTTTATGAAAAGCAATTTATTAGCCATTGTTATTCATGAAGCTAGTTCTTGCTTCTTCCCTTCAATGTAGCAATGCAGCAGTACACCAGAGGAATGTTGGTCATTTCTTGTTAAAGGGTCTCAGCTATTGAACAAATATTTTGTTCAGTATCTGTGAAGACAGGTGTGTCAGTCTGCAACTGTTGTGTTGGGAAGGTTCTCTTTTCTTATTCAGCATGCAACAGAATACAGAATTTCAAATGTAAGTTGTTGCCAATAGCAGGTCTTTGGAGGCTTGGTAAACCTGAGAAATATCCCAAAAATACAGCAAAGAATCATGACTTTTGTTTTACCTTTCTGTCAGTGGGTGTCTTAATTGAAACTGTTTTTTTTCTCGCCTCTGTGCTGTACGCTAGGTGTAGATGAAAAATGTTAGTCTCGTTTAGCAGCTGCCTCCTGCTGTCATTAGTGTGGCAGCATTTATGTGCTTATATTGCAGCAGAGACATGGCTGGGTTCCCTGTGTGAGTACATCTTTGTTGTCCCACACACTGTCCTCCTTTACATTCTGGCACAGGATCATTACCCGTGACAGTGACACTGCTCAGCCTTGTGAAAGTTGACAATAGTTTAAAGTGTCCTTTGATAAGACCTTCTTGTCTGGATTTACCGCTAAGTTTGTGAGTCAAAGAATGTGTGAGGGATGGCAGGGAGTGCCGCCGTTCATTTCTTCTGTTGCCTATAGAGAAGCCTGGAGGAGCGGGCCCACCTCCAGCTCAATGAGCCATGACTGTTTAATTGCCTGACATTCTGTCAGAGCACACACCCTCAAAGCTCCGAGAGAAATGGAGATTTGAAAGTCCAAAGAGGGGATAAAGGCACAACAGACTGTCAGGCTCAGAGGCGCATTATAGATAAGAGGTGGAGCCTTTAATTTGACATTTGTTACAAGTTTGGTGCAGTTCAATTTAGTGTAGTTTTATTGGTCCTTTTTGTCTCCCTTGTGAAATAAACGGTTCACATTTTATCAGCACGGTAATATAAACAATAACAGACAGCAAGACACAAACAAGACTAGATTGTAGAAAGAGCCTATAGGGAACAATATTTGTCAAAAATGAATCCTTTGATCATTTGGCTCTCCATCTTGTCCATACAGTAAATTCAGTCCAGTATTGGACCCCCTTTTTATGTAACCCTCAGAAAACACGTCTTTTTTAACTGATTAAGTCATCACCTGCAAGTACAAGGCTAGGT